TTGAGGCCATTCTGAGCTACAAAGCCAGTCTGGACTACTTGATACCCCAAAACAAAATAAAAACAAACTTTTCTATCACTGCAGGTCAAGTCTTCAAAGATGCTCCTGTTGTCACTCCAACACTGGCTTTTGACTTCTCATTCTGTCCATTTGTCCCTACAGCTATTTTCTTTCTTTTTTAATAAACATTTTAAAAAATTTTAACTTTTATTTCATGCACATTGGTGTTTTGCTTGCATGTATGTCTGTGTGAGGCTGTCAGATCCTTTGGAACTGGAATTATAGACAATTGTGAGCTGCCATGTGGGTGCTGGGAATTGATCCCACATCCTCTGGAAGAGCAGCCAGTGCTTTTTTTTTTTTTCTTTTAAGATTTTATTTATTATGTATACAACATTCTGCTTCCATGTATATTCTAACACCAGAAGAGGGCACCAGATCTCATAAAGGATGGTTGTGAACCACCATGTGGTTGCTGGGAATTGAACTCAGGATCTCTGGAAGAGCAGCCAGTGTGCTTAACCCCTGAGCCATCTCTCCAGCCCCAGATGGTTGGTTGTGTGTATGTGTGTGTGCACATGTATTTCTAGTTGAGTGTATGAGTAGGTAATCAAAGAGACCAGCAGATAGTATCACCTCCCGGGATACTATCTGATACTATCTGAGCGGGAGTCAGGTGGCTGTGAGCTGCCCAGAGTGGGCGGTGGGTCCCATAGAAGAACAGCCAGTGCTTATTTACAATGGCTGAGCGGTTTCTCCAGGGCTTCTCTCCCGCATCCCCATCCAATCCGTGCCCCCACCCCCCCCACCCCAGACCCCAGCTGTTTTCTTGAGATCTTCGGTTCATACAGGCCATATCCCGAATCTGTGTTTGAATTAATCTTTCTTTATAGAATAATCATGACCTTCACCCACGCAAGCTGTGTCCCCCCCCAGTGTCCCCAAAATCCCACTACCAAAATCGGTTCTGAAATCTGAATATGAAGATGACATACTGTGTGGTCTTGGACATTTGGGCTAGTTTTCTTCAAATTTCTGTCTTAGTGACAGTTATCCCAGGGTGAAGACATTAACGACCTTTTGTTTCTGCTGAAGAAGGCAGATGGTCATGAAGTTCCTCATTTGCATGTCACTGTGTACTTTATGGTGAAAGCTGCCTTTCTGGCTGCCAGGGAGGGAGAGTGTGAGGGTATTTCTAACTTGAGAACACTTGGAGACTCAAAGATTGAGTGATGCAATTGATTTCCACATGTGTGCTCTCTCAGGCACCGAAGTGTGTGTGTGGAGAGAGAGAGAGAGAGAGAGAGAGAGAGAGAGAGAGAGAGAGAGAGAGAGAGAGAGAGTGTGTGTCTCATTCTGGAGAGGCAGCATGTGTGTGTGTGTGTACATGCTCATGCAAGTGTGCACATGGGTGTTCCTGTGTGTGTGTGTGTGTGTGTGTGTGTGTGTGTGTGTGTGTGTGTGTGGGTGAGGGACAGAGGGTAGGGCAGACTGGCCTCAGACTTGTGGAAATCCTCCTTAGGTGGAGTTACTGCTGAGCCAGCATACCCAGCTGAGGTCTCTCTTAAGTGCTCTCTCATCTCTGAGACCTCTCCAGGGGCCTGAGACCTCTCCAGGGGAAGGGCCTTCTTCTTCTTCTTCTTCTTTTTAAAGATTTTATTTATTATGTATACAACATTCTGTTTCCATATATCTGCACACCAGAAGAGGGCACCAGATCTCATTACAGATGGTTGTGAGCCACCATGTGGTTGCTGGGAATTGAACTCAGGACCTCTGGAAGAGCAGTCGGTGCTCTTAACCTCTGAGCCGTCTCTCCAGGGGAAGGGCAGCCCTTCTTGCTCCTATGTCCCTACTTCTTCCCCACCACCAACTCATGTGCCCATGTTTCCAACCAACAACCCTAAAAAGTTAAGGGACAGATCCTATATTTCATAGAAACGAATAAACTCACCCAAAATCGCAATGTGAATGGTAGAACTGGGCTGTGAAGCCGTTACCAAGCCCAGGGTGCTTCCCACTCACCCTCTCAAAAAGGGGCTGAGTGAGGTCATCTCACTGACAAACCTGCAGTTCCTCAGGTGGCCACCAGATGGCTATGAGCTTTCCTGTCCAGGTGAAACTGTTCTGTTTTATTCTATTTTGTTTTTTTTGAGACAAGGTCTCAAACAGCTAAGGCTGACCTCAGACTTGAACTTTTAATCTTCCTTCTTCACTTCCAGAGTTCTGGTATTACAGGCAGGCACCGCAATACATGGTTTTATGTGGTGCAGGGGACCAAACCCAGGCTGCTTACATGGTAAACACTCCACTATGTGAGCTAACACCTGCAGACCCCAGGTAAAACTTTCCTTACTTCTGTCTTCTCTACCAGCCTGGGAAGCTTTGACTTAAATCCAAAGAGAGGGACATGTGTGTCTGCCCATGTATGTATGAGAAGCACATACAGTCAGTCAGTCTCCATTCTGATTTTGTCCAAAATTCAGAGACTGGACAGTTAGCGTGTGTGCACTCGAGCACGCGCGCGCACACACACACACACACACACACACACACACACACACACACACAGTCTGGTACCCTCTGAGGCATTAAGAGGGTGTCAGATCCTTTGGAACTGGAGCTATTGAAGGCTGTGAGCTGTATGTGTTAGGAATTGAACCCGGGTCCTCTGACAAAGCAACACATGCACTTAACTTCTGAATCATCTCTCCAGCCCCTTTTCGACCAATTTCCATTAACAGTGCTCTGGTCTGGAGTGGGGTGGGGGACAGAGCAATTCCCAGGCCACACTCCTGCGGTTTCCACCTTCATTTACAGTGCGTATCTGCTATTTGCCACGCACAGTGAACAAAGACCATTGCCTTCTCCCAAGAATTCCTATCTTAACAGAGAGAACCGTGTGCAAAGAGAGGCCGAAAATGCTATCAAGTACGTGAGGATTCCTTGAGGATCTCACAGCACAGTGGGCGGGGCACACAGGCACACAAACAATGGGACAGGAGGGCTTCTAAGCACCAGCTTCCTCCTGTGTGCAGGGGGTTCACCCGGGAAGAGGAAAGCCGGAGCTCTGTCATTGTGGAGCATGTAGACCAGGAGACAAATGGGCTGTTAATTATGCATTGGATACGCGCTCCAAAGCAAAGCAGGTGCTGGCACGTAGAATAATTAGGAGAGGTCTTTCCAGTAGAGAGGTTAGGAAATGAGTCACTTGAAGAGGGAACAGATGAGGTTGACTTTCCACAACGGGGCACAGCAAGTGGCCAGTCCCCCAAGAGGGGAAGAGTATGAGGACCAGAGAGGAAGCTGGATGAACAGAGGAGCCAAGTGAGTACAGGGCTGAGCCCAGAAGGCATCAGGAGAGACTCCAGTGGGTGATGGAGAGCCATGAGCTGGAAGGTGCTGGTGGGCTTGAGAGGGCTGTAGGACCATTCTCAGTGGTGGCTTATTCAGCTAGACAGATGGAACCAACAGCAGAGAGCTGGGATAAAGGCAAGAAGAATGTGTTGCTGTCAAGGAATGGAAACCTGATGGGGAAAGCTTGAGACAAGCAAGATACACCAAGTCAGGAGTTCAAGGGTTCCCTATGGAGGACAAGTCATGCTGACAAGTGGCTAAGAGAGATGTGGACATGTGTGTGAGGGCCAGCTCAGGGAGGAACCATACGGCAGGGCCCAGGAGACATGGAGTCTAAGGATTTCAACTGGGGGCAGGGTGGGGTAAAGCAGTGGTGAGATCCAGATGGGTGATTGGAGACAGCAAGAAGGGCAGAGAACATAGGGCTCTCCTGTGTGGAGGACAAGACACAGAGGTCTAATGACACTCAGGTGGAGGTGCACAGGAAAAGGGATACCCTCCCCCCAGGAGGCCCCGCAGAGTTGTAACTTCTCTCGAGAAGCTATCAACTGAAGATGACACGGCTCAGGCCATGGGGTATTAGCTGAGTTCCTCTGGTTAGAATATATTTTACATCTTGTTGGTAAGAAAGGCTTATCGGGCCGGGTGTTGGTGGCACACGCCTTTAATCCCAGCACTCGGGAGGCAGAGGCAGGTGGATCTCTGTGAGTTCGAGGCCAGCCTGGTCTCCAGAGCAAGTGCCAGGATAGGCTCCAAAGCTACACAGAGAAACTGTCTCGAAAACAAAACAAAACAACAAAACAAAACAAAAAACAAACAACAAAAAAAGGCTTACCGGGGCTGGAGAGATGGCTAGTGGTTTAGAGCTGTGGTTGTCCTTCCTGAGGAGGACCGAGGTTTGATCCCCAGCACCCTCATGGACGCCCACAACCTTTTATTAAGTCTTTTTGTTGTTTTGTTTTGAGCAGCGTCTCTCTATGTGACCCTGGCTGTCCTGGAACTCAAGCTATAGACCAGGCTGGCCTCAAATTCCCAGAGCTCCACTTGTCTCTTCCTTCCAAGTGCTGGTATTAAAGGTGTGACCACCTGGCCTGGTTAACCTTTTATAGCTCTAGTTCCACCTGCCTCTGCCTCTCAAGTGCTGGGATTAAGGAGTGCACCACAACAGCTGAGCATCTGTATTCCTTTCTCTTGTTTTTTTGTTGTTGTTTTGTTTTGTTTTTCGAGATAGGGTTTCTCTGTGTGGCTTTGGAGCCTGTCCTGAACTCCCTCTGTAGACAAAGCTGGCTTCCAACTCAAGAGATCTGCCTGCCTCTGCCTCCCAAGTGCTGGGGAATTAAATTCGTGTACCACCATCGCTCGGCTGCCCTCCGTGACCCGGCGGAGCCCCACCCCTTTTGTCCAGCCCCGCCCCAAATCGCCGAACACAACCAGGCTTGCTTCTGGTCCCCTCTTCTCTGGCTGGTCCTCTCTGACTCTGCTGGCAGAGCCAAGCTCTCCCTGGTCCCTCCTACGGGTCACACTCACTAGCCACGCCCCGCTCTGACCACGCCCCCGTTGCCCAGGTCTCACTCTGGCAAGCTCGGCGGGCGAGCGGAGTCAAGAAAGGACGCGCCACACCAGCTGTCCCGGCCCCCGCGCCCATGGCCGCACCCGGACCCCGCGCCTTGCGTGCTGCTCTCTGCGGCGGTTGTTGTTGCCTCCTCCTGTGTGCCCAGCTGGTTTTAGCTGGTAACGCTGGGCAGGATCTGATTAGGGGGCAAGGCAGGGGCAGGTGGGACATGCACTTCGCTTTAGCTTCCTGTTCCTGCACGTATATAGGCTTGGAGGAGGGAACTTTTTCAAAAGAGTCTGCAGGGCTCCAGGAGTCTGTTAAGACCACAGCGCCTATTTATAGGTTCTGGGAGACTTAGGTGGATGTTTGGAGGTGACTCCAAATGCTCCTGGGAACTTCGGGAGGAAGTAAAGGAAGTTCTGGGGGTAGAGAGGGGATAAGGCTAGGGACGCTGCAGGCCTAGAGGGGTGGGAGCCGCTGTAGTGGGGGAGGTGCTGCAGCTTGGTGTCTGGCACTCTGCTGTTTCCTTTCCATTCCCGCCCCCTCTCCCAGGTAAAGGAGCGCGAGGCTTTGGGAGGGGAGCCTTGATCCGCCTGAACATCTGGCCTACTGCCCAAGGGGCCTGCAAACACCTAGCACACTGTGAACGCTGTGTGGACAGGGCCCACAATCTCTCCATCTGCGTCTGGCAACAATGTGGGCTAGAGGAGCCAGGTTTGTAGTTGGGCCCTCCCAGAGTCTGTCCTCCAGTCTATACCACCCCCCAGCCTTCTCCTCAGACTTCTTCCCTGCTCCTTCTCCCACCAGGACACTGTGTGGCCCAAGCTGAGGTGCTCAAGGAGGGTTGCTCTCTCTACAACCGTTCAGAGTCATGCCCAGGTAAGGGAGATCACTCTAAGCCATCATGAAGGGAGGGGAGTGAGATGTCCCCAGCCACAGCCTGTTTCCAGGAGGTACTAACTTCTCTCAGGGAGTGGACTGCACCCACGATCAGCTGGGTCCTTGTCCACGAACAGTTGTGCCTTGCCTTGGCTGGTGTCCTAGCCTGTAAATTGGTTCAGATGTGTCCAGGAGCTGGGGGAGCCAGCACTGTGTGAAGTAAGGCACGGCAAGGTCTTTGGAATGGAGGGGGGGTCTTCCTGAAGCAAGTGACATCAGACAGAGATGAGCATGGGATGGGGGCTGCGTGACTAGGCGTGAGTGGGGTAGGGGTGGGTGCTCCGTGCGGGAGGTGGGTCCAGCTACTGACCCAGGCTAGGGTTCCTGACAGGAGAGAGCTGTTTCATCTTGGATTTCTGTCTCCTCAGCTTTCCACCACCATCCCACCCATGAACCAGAGATGAGCACAACAGGTAGGGTCCTCCCCCGGGAACGGCGGTGGGACAGTGGCAGGAGAGAAAGGCAGCCTGGGCACAGGCCCTGGCATGCTCTGTGACCTCAGTCCTCTGAGTTCTCCACACCTGTAGGATGGGTTGGACAGACCCTTGCCTCACAGTGCCACAGGGATTTATGAGGCTGTGGAGGCCCACTCCACTGTCTGATGCATCAGCATCCACGGCAGTCAGGAAATGGCAGCTGTGTCACGGGTTCTGGGAACTCAGGGGGACCCCTCCAGATCTGTGCTCGGAGCTGAGGAGGTGTGGCCCCAGTTGCTAAGAGATGCCCTGGTGACCACCTGCTGCAAGCTGAGGGCCCCAAAGTTGGTTCCCAGCAAAGCAGGAGAGGAACCCCATCTGCCTCTAGGTCCCCACTCCCGCTCTGAGGCCTAGAGGTCACTAAACTTAGCCAGGATGGCTGAAGAGGCTCTTGGTTAATTAAAGCCAGAAACTGATCTTAAAGAATAAATTATTGATGGCTCGGCTCCCTCGACTTGAGCCCCAGATCTGTGGTGCCCAGCTCAGTTCTTCCCTTTCTATCCTCTTCCCCGGTGTCCTCTGCAGTTCCCTGCTGCAGCCATAGCAGAGCTGTCCTTCCCACTTTGTGTCCTTAGACTCTGCACTGTCCATGTCCTCTGGAAAGGAGACCCTGTTCCCAGTTTGGCCCCTTGTACAGTGTCCCAGAATGATCTTCCACTTAGCAGTGTTTTCCTGCCCTGGGCACCTGGCCTAGGGCCTGAAATCAAATCCCTGGCTGGAATTGACAGGTAATGTGGTCCAGCTGGTTGCTAGCAAAGCCTGGACTAGTAACTCAGTGCTAAGGCCTTCCTTGCAAAGGGGGAAGGGCAGAGGAGGGGGTCAGGGGAACCTGGGAGGAGACAGGCCAGGTCTGCCCCATTGTTTAGCTTCACTTGCCCCCTCTGTAGGGTGCTGGTCCTGGGCCTCCACCTCTCCTCTGTTCCTTCCTCTCTTGGTGGGGACTCTAGGCTAGGAGTCCTGAAGGACTGTGTGCCATTTTATCTGTGCTCCAAGCCTGGTGCCCTTAGTTGAAAGGAGGTCTGGTGGCTGAGTTCCAGGCCCATCCTTCCTCTATTGGGCTAGAGAGGGACAGGAAGGGTACAGGGGCACTTGGTCACTGTTATTTCCATGTGACCAGGAGGCCTGGAGAGGGTGTGTGTGACATAAAGCTATGGAGCAACTCAGGAACAGGGCTGGACAAGGTCCACCCTCCCCAGCCTCAAGTATCCCTTTCACCAGCTTGCAGGGTTTGAAGAGCCTGAGATAGACTGACAGACCCACCCCCCCCCCCCCCCGG